CAGCCACCATGTGCAGTACAGGCAAAACTAAAGCATTTGACAGGCAGTTTTATAAACTGACAGAGTAGATGAGACAAGAAGTTGGCATTGTCAGTAACCAGAAGAAAAACACCAGTAAGAAACTAAGAAGAACAAATTATTTTTTCAGAGAAAAGCTGATTTTTACTTGCTACTCTAACAGCTGGCATTTACAATTACTAAATGATTTGGGGATACTTTTTCTCCATTTTCCAGTTATAGTCTTCTCCCAGAATAATCACTTCATCTCCCCTGTTTGTGGAGGCCTTTTCAGATTGCAAAATTGGAAAGAAAAAAACACTTAAAAATAGAAAGATTGTGAATAAGCTCACAGAAACTAGTGGGTTCAATGGTGGCAGAGGCCTAAATAGTATTTTAAAGTAATTTTTAAACAGCAACGTGCCTTTGCCCCTTTATAATCAGAATTGTCAAAAGAGCTGCATTAGAGTTACAGAATCTTGGAAAAATAGGGTTGAAAAGAACCTCCAGAAGTCAACTAGTCCAATCCCCTGCTCAAGGCATCCCATATAAGTCCTGGTCTAACCAATTCTTAAAACTATGCCATCAACCCTCTCATGTAACTACAAGGTATGCTGCAAGATATCAAAACCTCCTTAACCTGCCACAGGTAAAGGAGGGGGATGAGGGCTGTCAGTGTCCTGCTTCTGCCAAGGTTATTAAAGTGAATTTGAGAGATCCAAGGAGGAGGGCCATGCCCCCACTACAGAAGGTGGCATCCTGTGTATATGGACATGGAATAGGAGAGCACCTGATACAGCTGGAGCTTTGGCACATCAACATTACTATATGATCTCATTGGGATTCTTTTTCCTTGTACACTACAGCTATGACATCACCAATTCTCATAAGATTTCATGACCCAGTGAATAAGCCATTTCTCAGAATTGTCTGCATTGCTCATTATGACTGCAATTATGTAACAAAACTCTCTGAATACCATGCAGTTATTGCAGTTATTAATCATTTAGGTTTTGTTTCGAGTCCTTGCTCTGTAGCTTGCTCAATAGATGTATTATTCCACAAACTGAATGTCAAAGCTAAACACATGTCTGCAAATCTACTGTTTTAAGGGCTTTTCAACATAATTTACCCTTTCAGTTTATATTTTGATAATCTGCAAAAAAAAGAGAGAGAGAAGAAAGCTCATGTCAATATAGTTGCTGACCTTTGCAGTAAATAGAAGACAGTTCTTACCAGTAAACAACTTGGCAAATAAGAAACCTGTTTTGCTGGAGCTTGGAATACTCCCTGCTTAAAAAGCCAGGTTCTGCATACAAATGAGCTCTTATAGATAATCAGAGATATGTAGGCACATTTGGAAATAATAAAAAACCCGCTAAAGTTGAGATGTTTAGGAAATGGTTATTCAAGCCAGCAATTCTTATGCAGAGCATTTTTCATAGCAATTTATTTTGAAAATTTGTTGCATTTAAAGGGTGGGGTTCAGGGGAAAGGGGAGAAATCCTATCAACTATAGCACTTTATGAAGCACTTAAGAAAGGACTCTATTTTACAATTATACCTCATAAAACAAAGTCTTGCAACCACCTTGCAGGACCTCACATAATTCCAACATTCTCTGCTGAACAGAACCAGTTGCAGGCTCAGACCATACCTGAGTATTGGCCCATTCCCCAATTAAATCTCAAATTTCTCATTTCAGAATGTCTGGGGTATTCTTTCACAGCTCTAAATCTAAGCTACTTAGCCCACATTGCCTTGTTAACATTTGCTACAGTTCATATACATACAATCGCATGTGTTTAAAAAAAAAGTTGTCAATGTGACTTACAAAAGGCTCATACAAAGCACACACGCTAAGTTTTCTTTAGTTTAGCTATATACATTGGTCCCCACGCTTTCCCCCGTTCTGGGAGGACTAACAGTTCATATTGCTGGGCACTGCTGGCAAGAGCGAACTCATGGGAAATGGCACTAGCCATTTCTCTTATGTCTACAGGCAGAATATTGCTGCAGGAGTTTAGGATTTGGGTTGTGACGTCACTGTTTTCTGCCTTTGAGAGGGTGCATGTAGAATAGACCAGTGTTCCTCCAGGACGCAAGGCTTTAATAGCAGACCTGTAAGCAATCAAAAAACAGGTTCATATTACTTAGGCATATTCAACTGAACAAGTGGCTGTAAATCAAAACACAAACTGCAGGAAACAGACTTTCATCACATGGTGTAAACTGAGCATTTTAGGAAGAATTCAGAAAGTTACTTGTGATGTGTTCTGCTTTCATATTTGCTTATGCATTTCCCATTCTCTTGCAATATTCTTCCAGGATTACAACAACTTGGAAAAAGTAGATGTACTCTGTAATGCCGCGTAACCTTTATAATCATTATGGTTCTAAAGTTTAAACAGGACTCTATGGCTAGGGACAGAAATGACATATAAACTGGTATAAGTGATAAGAAATCAGTTCAAATATGTAACACAGCAGAAGTTCAGTGGATGTAAACCGCCATTAAAATGGCCAAATCCAGTTTAAGATAAATATGGATGGATGCAGCATCAGGTTTCACTAATTTATGTTAAGTCAGTTTACTGAACTTCTATCCCAGATCCCCTTCTAGATTCAACTTAACTCACAGTCCTACCACCATCCCACAATGCTTTGTACCTCCCCTGCAAACCCCACCTCACAGGGTGGGTAGTTTAGATTTGGTCCAAGCTGTCTGCTACAGCCAAGCAGGGAGGAATGCTCTAGCATCTCCCTAGCCTGAGCCACTGCAGGCACATGGCTGCATTTCTGGAATCAAAAGTGAACGTCTGTTCACTTGCTTATCAGTTTAATCTATGCACTTAGACCAGGGACAGGCAAAATCTGGCCCTTGGGCTGAGTCCAGCCTGCCAGGCCATTCTATCTGGCCCACAGGGCCCCTAAAAAGTTTAGAAAATTAATTATTATCTGGCCCTGGCTCCTTGTCAAAGATGACAAGGCACCAGCAGCAGCAGGACCCAGGGGGAGCTGGTGGCAGAACCTAGGGGCAGTAGGACCCAGCAGTCACAGCAGCAATGCCTGCCCAGCTCCACCCTCCCCCTAGCCCCCAACCAGAAGCCTGTGTCTAGCATTCCCTCTGCTAGGCAGAAGCTTTTGGCCTGGGGAGAGGACCACGGGCGATCGCCCCAGTCTTTGGAGCTGGGTGGTTCCTGTTGCATCCTGTGGTCTGGCAATGCAGCTGGGAACCATGTAGTGCCAGAGTGGCCAGCAGGTGGTAGAACGGGTGGGGAGAACCAGCAGTGGTGGATGGTAAAGCAGAGAAATGGCGGTTGCAGCAGCAGCAGGCAGGTGCGGAGTGGCAGTGGGCAGAAGCACAGTGACAGTTGGATGGAAGCGCAGGGCCAGGGCTGGTGGGGACCCAGGGTGAGGCACCAAGAGCACAGGGCTTGGGCTGGCTCTGCCCCCTCCTTGCTGGCGCATCTGGGCCTGGCTCCACAGACCCCTGCCAGCCCATGCCCATGGTCCTGCTGCCCTGCCCTGGGCCCTGCTGACCCTGGCCCCGGGGCACCAGAGTGGGCCCTGTGCTACAGCCCGTTGCCACCTGCACCCCCCGCAACCGCTGCTGCAACCGCCATTTCCCCACTTTCTCACCTGCCCCTGCTCCCCACCCCTGCCAGCCACTGGCACCACATAGTCCCTGGCTGCATTGCTGTGCAACCAGGAACTGTGTGGTGCTGGAGTGGCCAACGGGCTGGGGGGCAGAGAAGCAGTGGTGGTGAGCAAGAAGTTAGGGAAGAGGCAGGAGAAGGGCAGTGGTGGCAGCTGGGGGGTGGAAAGTGGCAGTGATTGGGTAGGCAGGAGCATGGGGCCCCAGGGCCAGGGGTGGCAGAAGCACGGAGCCCAGGCTGGCAGAAGTGCTGATAGGAGCTCCACCTGCCATGGGCCCTGACGCCTCACAGTCTGCTGCTGCCGCTGGCGACAGGGACTGTGGGCACCCACATCCCCCATGTACACCCCAGATACCATTCCCCTCCACGCATGCCAAAGCCCTCCCCAGCCACCCTCCCCACACACACTCACAGTCCCCCACAAACTCCATACCCACCCACACCCCATATATCCCCCCCCACACACACATACCCCTCACACCTATCCAGCTCCCCCACAAATCCTACACTCATACCCTCCCCCACACCCCTCATACACACATACCCACAGCCCCCCACAAACCAATACCCACCCACCCACACCTCCCACACTCCCCCCACAATATACAAGAGTAAGACTTCATTTTAAACTATTATACAATCACCTCTATGTACACTACACAAACGCATGTAAATCAGGACAAAAATATTTTTTGAAATCAAATTAATGAATGTTGTAGTAGATGTTTGATTTTTAGAATATGATTTGGTATTTTTCTGGTTCCGAGATGGGAAACCCCCCTTGCGAAAAGGAGTACTTGTGGGGACAAGGGGAGGCACTTCTGGTGGCAAAGGTTAGGAGTTAGGGGGTGGGACTTGCAGTCCCAAGATGGCAGCCAGGGCATGAGGCATCTGTCAAGGGGTGGGGCTACCCATGCGGCCCTCGACAGCTTGCCAAACCTCATTAAGTGGCCCTCCAGCTGAAATAATTACCCATCCCTGGCTTAGACTAACCTGAGAAGACTGAATTGATTCAGCCTCGGGCTTTTTGACCATCTGTACTTACTTAGCCTAAGGATCCTGGTTTTCAAATATGATCAGGAAGAGGCAAATGTCTAATTTGCACATGGAAGTGTTGCAGCTACACATACAAACTAGTTAACATCACAGCAGATTTGTTGAGTAAATATTTAGTGGGTCATTTGGGGGCTCAAATACCTCTTTTTTTTAAAGGAAAGAAAAGGGAACCAGGAATTGCAATAACCAGGATGCAACTATTAGGTGTGCAGTTTTGCAAACATTTCTGCAAACCAAACTTGTCACTTCACTTGCAAGCTACACCCCTGTTGCCTCCCCTTGCAATTTCCCTACTACGGATGAAAAACTTACATGTTTAATAATAACCCACATTTAAGATCCAAACCTACAGCTTTTTCATGCATTTAACAGTCACAGCAACTTTTAAAAAATGTAATCAAACTTATCTAATTGCCTGAAAATGAAAATCATTAATACATACATGTGCATTTTTTAAATAAAAAAACCAGTAATTATATGTACTCCCTATGTTACACAACTCAATGACCAAACCTAAGAAATGGGAGCTGTTTACCTTCCTTAAAGCAGCGTTCTGTCTTACTATACGGGGTAAAATACAGTACATTAGAGTGTTGAAATGACATATGTATGGCATATTTAACTGCCACAGCCTAAGTGCTATGTGAATACAGAAAAAATATGACACAAATTAATCTATTTTTAACAGCATGCTTTAAGCCTGGCATTACTAAAATGCTTAAAGGAGTTGAAGGCAAAGGTAACCTTTAGGTAAAGGTATTCTGGCTGGTTAAACTAATCTTGCTTTATCATCTCTTCTAGCCATTTCCACCCTGAAAGCTCCACAGACTAATTTATGAAGTATTATGTAAATGGATCACTTCACAGTTGCTTCTTGGGGCTGAAACGGGACAAATACTCAAGTGTGCATAAGGTCAAACAGAGATTACTAAAGAACCCCTCTCCTGCTTAAAAGGACAATGGAGTCTCAGGAATTTTAATATAGTCACTTTTTGGAATAGGACACACGTGCCAAGGTAAACACCCCAACATTTGTAAATGTACCATGGAATTTTGATAGGTGCAAGTGGTCAGGTCAATTGAGAAGCAGTGATGATTCCAGAACTGAAACATGGAACAAAAAGCACTGTGATGTGTAGGCAATGCAATGAAGATGTGAAGATCAGATTAACTCCAAAGCACTGACCAAGGAGGATATACAGAGAATAATTAACAAGAGAACAGGAAATCAGAAAATGTTGATTGACTGAAGACTGGGACAGGGAAGACAAAAATTATGGCCACTGGCAGAACAGATGCAGAGGCAGAGATCAGAATTAGAGACAAAAAACTAGAACAAGTGGAAAAATGTGCATACCTGAAAGAATTAGTAGGAAGAGGTGGAATTATGAAGATGACATAAAAAAAGAATGAAAAACGCTACAAAGCAAGCAAGGAGCAGATGCAAGACACGTGTCACACTGATACGGTTTGAAGGGGTTGGAATGCTTAAGCATGAGAGAAACCAGTGAACAAAAGATGTTGACAGAAGAAGTGAGCTGGAAGAAGAGAATACTGAATTTCAAGACTGCAGAAAATAAATGATGAGACAGAAAGCAACTAGGATGAGAAATAACATTGGCTGCTTTCAGACGTTAAAAAAAAAGTGGTGCTTTACTATAAAATTCTGCACACTTCCACAATGAGCCCAGCACATGCCAAGAGGCATTGCGTTAGTTGGACCTAGCTTGCCTGAGGTCTGTATAGATTGGGGCTATGGTGGGACTTTCTTGGCGCTTTTATCTAAAACCCCACTGAAGCGCCCAATCTATAGAGACACTGTGGAGGCAGGTGGAAGTAATGCGCTCTACTTCTGGTAAAGCACATTTATTTATATACATTTTTAACACCTGTGCGCAGCCATTGTTACAGAAGATTCAAGAAAGACCGTTGCAATAGTTGGGCCAAGCATCAAAAAAGACCTGAAAAGTGTATTGTATACAGCAAAAAACAAAACTAAACAAAAGGAAGCTGGAGAATGCACTGAGTGGTCACAGCTAAAAATGACCTAAACAAAAAAGATTTAAGGATGAGAGAAACTTGAAGATGGTAACACAGAAGACAGCAATGTAAAGACTTCATTCAACGCTGTTGCTCAGCATAGTTACACCTGAGCATGTGGGTATTAAAAAAAAGTGGGGTGTGGGGAAGGAGCTGAGCTTCAGTTTTCTCTCTCTTCTGGAAGATGTCACCTGCAGAGACCCTGTTTTCTGCTGACGTAGGAACTCAGTGAAGAATGCCATCAGTGCCGGCACTGTAGGGCATTAAAGATATTCCAGCCTCTGCTCTAACTCATGGCAGATTACATAAAGCGCCATGAGTTTGAGTGCCCCCCTGACCCAAAAGACATTTGCTTGTTGGGTTTGG